ACGAAAAAAATCATAAACAGTGACAATTTTCATGACGAAGAAGCATTAATAATTGATGATTCTCAAATAATAATTTTTAATGAAACCAAGCAAATCTACGAACTTGTTGTTGAAACTTCGAAGTATATTTCAAATAATACAGGTGATCGCGATAATATGCAATATAATCCTGCACTTGTAAAACGCTTATTGGACTTTTGCAAATTAATCCCGTGTTGGTCAGCATTGATGGTACCAATTTTTAAATATGGAAATTTGACGGTGACTAACTGTGCATCGGAGAGCTTATTCAAAGATTTAAAAACTATTGTATTAAAACATAAGACTTTGCCAATAAGACTAGATGAGTTTTTACAAATACACATAAATTCCATACTTGGATCGATGAATATAATAAGAGATAAAACATGTAATTCTAAACGATCTATTAAAAGTGAAAATAATACTATTGGCAACGTTGAGAAAGAGAAAGTATTTAACAACACTTTTTTAAAAAATAAAATATTATGCGACGAAGAAACTCAAATCAAAACTTATGAACAAACTAATATAAACTGGGACGAAAATATACATTATGATGATTCCAGTATACTAGAAAATTGGAAAGGGTTAGGATATCAAGTTGGGGAAAAAAAACATACATCGATAAAGACCCATCAATTTTACATTCTAATAATACTATTATAATAGCCATACTAAAAATAAAGTAGTGGGACTTCTAAAAACCGGAAATTTTTTGAATCTCAAAAGTATTGAAATCAATAACAAAGAGTATTGTGTCACAAATACATATACTTTCAACAGTATTTTTCAATTGATATGTAATTCCTATGTTTATAGTGATGTTTATGCTGATTTCGTCAATTTAAATTCAACAAATCTATTTTTCGAATTAATATCAAATGCAATAAGGGATGGAATTAATTTACAAATTTATAAAAAACAAGCAAATATTTTATTAAATTTTATGTCTAAATCAATTGATGAAATGTCAGATGGATTAATCATATTAAATTCTGCGTGTACTGTCAACTTTCTAATACAAAAAATATTTGAAACATACCCAACATATAAAGAAGAAAATGAATTTCCACAATGTGGCAATCAAATAGCTAAAAATTCAACTACTTTTATTGCAAATCTACTAGCAGGAAATATTTATTTCATGCTAGATGTCATCGAAAATGTATTTGGAACAGAACGAAAATGTAAACAATGTAATTCAGTATTCAAAACAAATTTTACATCTGGAAAACATTTTTTCATTGAACCTGTTTTCCAAAATCTTGAGCTAGGAAAAAAAATAGACTTTGAATTAACTGTCGTTTTGAGTGACATTCCAACAACAATAAATATGCTACATAACAAATTCACATTCAGAGATATTATTAATTTTATAATACCAAAATTCAAAAACATTAATGCAATTGGGCATTATATGTCATACAATTGGAGAGAAACTAATAATACATGGGAACGGTGTGATGACCAACTGCATTCCATACGATACGTAAGAGCATCCACAAAGGTTAACTGTCAATTCATACTGTACACTAAATAAAAAAGTATTAGGTTATTAATGTTAGTATATTTGTATAATTTAAATAAGTCAAAAAGCATTTTAAATAATGTATTTCAAATAATTAATTTATGTTGTAGTTCAAAATGTTATTTAAAAACTTAAAAACTGTAATATGTCGTTTATTTTTTAATTAAAATGTTCATATGTTTTAATTTTTACGTAAATACCTATTGTAATATCTGTTTTTTTTTTTAATCTTTGTAATTAATGTTAAAATTTTCTTATGCCTATATCAAATTTATTATTATTAGTAAAATATTTTTTGTGATTTTAATTTAAAAATTTTATAAAATGTTACATATATATACTTTAATACTTATTGTAGAATTACTTTATATTTCGAGAAATCAATTAATGATTACATATTTATTTAATGTTTACCTAAGAAAATTTGTCATATGAAAAATATTTTATTATATAAATATATGCTGTGTAAAAAGGTAATGATATAATAATAATTGTTTGAATGTTATTTAATTTAAAAAAGGTGAATGGCATTTATAAATTGGAAAATCGATATCCTTCAATAATGAACGTATTGTTTGGTTTTCTCAAATATAAACAAAGAGAAAAGGTCTTATTATTTCATATGCCAATTCATTTTTAAAAAAATTATATGGATCATTACTTAAAGTATGAAAAAAAACCCAAGTAAATCAAAATTTTCTGCCGAAATTCAATCACAAATCTGCACAAACTTGGAATAAACGAACAGGTCGATAATAAGTAAAAAATTGGTTACTTACATATACTAAGTTTACTTTATAAAATATGTTAATAAAACAATATACACTAAAAGTGTGTTTAAATATATTTTGAATTTATTAAGCATGTCCTTAGGCCCCTCCCTCCTTCAATGTTTAACATCTCGGAAACGGGTTAAGCACAAGCGACGAGAATAAAAGCACAAATAAGCACAAACGAAACTGAAACGACTGTAAAAATTTGAACTCGAAAGTCCGAGGTAGTGAGGGAGCTGATTATGTCCCCAGTCCCCCCTTGAAAGTTCAATAACTCGGAAACGGGTTAAGAACAAACGACGGGAATAAAAGCACAAACAAGCACAAACGAAACACAAACGACTGTAAAAATTTGAAGTGAAAGTCCCTGGTGGGGGGGAGCTGGGGACATGCAGTTGTTTTCAAAACTCTATGATAAACTTATTTTTAAACGCATTATGCCTAGTATTAACGAAAAGCAGATATTACCTGATACCCAATTTGGTTTCCATAACTCCCATTCAACCATCCACTAAATCAACCGTTTAATTGACACCATTTCTCTAACACTAAAAAAAAAAAATGTATTGCTTCACGGTATTCTTAGATGTCGCACAAGCGTTCGACCACGTATGGCATCCTGGATTTCTATTTAAATTAAAAAATATATTACCTCCCCCTTAATTTCTATTCCTTAAATCATACCTCGAAAACCGCTACTTTGCCACGCGAGTGGATACCGAAATTTTAGAACTATCTCCAATTCTCACCGGAGTCCTTCAAGGAGCAATACTATCTCCAGTTCTGTTCAACATTTTTTCTACGATCAACCAACCACTCCAAACACTTCTGTAGCAAAATACACCAATGACAAAGCTATTTTCACCAACCATAATGACCCTATCCTAGCCTCAAATTATCTTCAAAATCACCTTAACCTACTATCTACCTGGTATAATAAATGGAGAGTCAAAATCTATACTTCCAAATCATTGCATGTAATATTCACTCTTCGTAAAGGAACTTCTCCTCCTATAACATTAAACAACTCCATCATTCCCATTGCCTCAAACGCTCGCTACTTAGGCATGCATCTAGACAAAATATTTACCTGGGCTCACCATATTAGAAAAAAGGATTATTACTCAACCAAAGACGCAGAAACCTCTATTTTTTATTAAACCAAAAATCAAAAGTTAATTTGAAAAATAAATTAAACTTGTTTAAAACGCTATTAGTTCCGATTTGGTCTTACGGTATTCGGGTATAGGGAGTAACTAAACTATGGAACACTCAGAAAATCCAGTCATTTCAATCAACAACTTTTCACCTGATAACGGGCGTACCTTTTTACGTCTCAAGCCACACTTTACATTCCGATCTGCATATAAACACCATAGCCAAAACTGCAACCATCTTTTATAAACGATTTCGGTCCCACTTAGCCAACCACCAAAACCCCCTCGTTAGGCAACTCAATTCAAATAATATTCCCGAAATTTCTTCTAGACGATTAGCTCGCCAATGGTGTAGAGACCTCATGAACCATAATTAAGTTTTAATAACTAAGCAAGTAAAAAAAGTATCATCGCTGGATGGCTTCTTTTATCGACCATTATTCATGTAAAAAAAAAAAAAAACATTCAGCACATACGCTTATTGTAAAAAAAAATTAATTACAGATTGTGTATTCTCTAATAAAAAAAAATAAAAAATAAAAAATAAAATAAAAATTAAAGTATTATGCAGCATCTATAATGCATATGGATATAGAATTCTACAAAAAAAAGTATTGAGTTGTACTCTATAACACAAACGCTATGGTTTATATGATTTTATAATCTATGTGTTCGCGCCGAGAGCGTAAAATAATATTACGCGCGCCCGGACGCTGAAATTGCCGCGTTCGCCGCTTTTACGTACGATCGCGGTCGGTACACTATGTGCATGTGTGTATAAGCCGGACAGCAGTGGTTGGGATCGCCGCACAAGTACTGTCCGACTATGTGATGTGGTGATGTGTATGTTTGTATGTGTTTACTTAAAACTAGAAGAGAGTAGCTGAAATAAACGTAAAATGATATAAAATGGTAATTATGTCGCTGTATTGTAAAATAATAAAATAATAAATAAACAATAAATCACAGCAACATCAAGGTACAAAAAATATAGTGATAATACTATTACGGTCCTTTTGGCCCAACAAGTAAAAAAATGTTTAACATATAATAATAAGCCTAACCAAAATTCCGGTTCGGCACAACCAGATGTAACAATTATCTATAAAATAATTAAGTAATAATTGCAAGTTTATAAAGAAATCACATTAACATAATATGTTATACTATATTATAGTATAAATGGTAACTAAATATACTGCGTAGCCCTTATGATTAAACATAATTAAATATGAATATAGTTGATAATAAATAGGTTAAGTATAATAAAATTAAGTTATGGCCCTTCTGGCTCAATATAATATTAATATAGAATAAATATGAAATATTATATGAATTAATATAGCAGACCGTTATTAGAACAGTAGCTGCCTAGTATAATATATAGTATATAAAAGAAAAGCCCTGCTGGCTAAACAGCAATAATTATTATTTCTTAGTTGGTAAAGATAGCCCTTTTGGCCCAACAATTAATAAATGTATAATATAAAATAATAAATGTAAAAATGTAATATAACTCACGGCTTTGTCGATGAACTGCTGGCCAGCCGCTACCTATGCCTATAATATACTATATAAAATTCACACAACAAATAAAATCACAAAGGTATAAATTAAAGCTAATATAAATAATTTATAACAATGAATATATATATAATAATAATAATGAATAAATACGGCGATTAGCGCCCACGCAACAAATATAAAAGGTATAATTATCAATAATAAAAAATAGCAATTCGTGCCTTTAGAATAAGTGTACAAAAAAAGGAAAAACTGTTCGCGACGATGCTATGGGCTATTTCATGACGACGTTCGGAAAGCGACAATAGTTGCGGCGGCTGTATTAAAATACGCGCACCGACGAGCCGGCGACGCACATAACGCGCCGATGACCGATAACGCGTTGGGACTTAATTCATTTAAATAATTCACACGCAATTGATAATAAAAATAAATAAACCACAATACAGATAGTTGTGCGTGTGTGTGCGACCAACGCCGCCCGTGGAACCCGATCATCAAGTGGCGGCCCGGGCACCTCGCGGTCAGCGGCGACACTATGAAAATTTATTACTTTCTAAATCATCATTCCATAGAAAAACTTCTGCTTAAACGTATCGCTCCAATCATCGCTAAAAAACAAATCCTCCCCGATTATCAATTTGGTTTTCGTACCTCTCATTATATTACACATCGAGTCCACCGGGTGGGTTGATGCAATCTCCTACTCTCTCGAAAAAGAATTATATTGCACTTGTGCTTTCTTAGATATTTCTCAGAAGTTTGACCGTGTTTGGCATCAAGTTCTCGTTTTTAAACTAAAATCTTTCCTACCTACATCCTACTTCCTACTTTTCAAATCATATCTGACTGATGGCTCTTTTAAAATTTGCTATGGAACTGCCACGTCCGAAATAGCAAATATAAATGCTGGAGTTCCTCAAGGTGGTATACTATCTCCATTTCTATATAATATCTTTTTTTCTGACCAACCCACATCACCAAACACTTCAGTCGCGGACTATGCGGATGATAAAGTGATTATATCGATTAACGATAATCCATCCTTGGATTTGGCCTCCTTATATTTGCAATCCCATCTGGGCTTGATTGAATGATAGTATACCAAATGGAAATTTAAAGTAAATCAAAATAAATCAGTGCACACTACTTTTACTCTAAGGCGAGCACTTTACCCAAATGTACTTCTTTATGACATCCCTATCCCTTTATCACTCTCAGTAAAATACCTTCGTCTAACACTTGACCAACGCTTAACCTGGGCTCAACATCTACGTGAAAAAATACTTTCCCTTAACAACTGACTTCGTATGCTTAAGCATTTAATTGGTAACAAAGCCACCCCTATTAATTTCAAACTCCTTATGTACAAAATCTTATTAAAACCCATATGGATATACAGATTTCAGCTATGGGGAATTGCTAAAAAATCTAATCTGAATAAGATACAAGTTTTCCAAAATATGATCTCAAGGAAATTAGTTAACACTCCTCCATACGTGTCAAACTATACCCTTCATGCAGATTGTAACTTAAAAACTATTCATGATGAAGCTAAACGTTTTTATAAAAAATTTCATAACTTTCTATCTTCCCATTCAAATCCTCTCATCAAGAACTTTTCCCTCACAATCCCAGGTAGCCCCCCCAGGTGACTCAAACGCAAATAGTGCAGAGATTTATTACTTTAAAAAAAAAAAAAAAAAAAAAAAACTACACATAGTTAAATCAGACAAGATTTAACCAAATTTGAAAGTGTCATCAGTGAGTGGCTTCTTTCCCTAAGTTATGTAATTTCATGTTTTTGTTCCCTCATTGCACATATACTTATTATATATTATATCTTTACTTATTATGATATAGATTGTAAATTTTCTTCAAAAAAAAAAAAAAAAAATCGACGTTTGTTTTAAAAATTAAAAAATTAAAATTCGATTCACATATCCTTTAATTAGTGATTATATTATATTATTAATACAATAAATGTACAGTTTAAATTAATTATGTATATTGTATACAGTGTAATTAAACATTCTGTTTGGAGTGAACTCGCCTCGACGTACACATAACATCCAAAAGTCCAAAGGGGTCATACGTTAATTTGAATATGAACACATAATATCAAATATATTATTATAGTTATTTCTTCGAATGGAAAGCTCCAATAATATAGCTAACTAACTATCATCGTGATTAGCTGTTGATTTTATTAGATTAAATAAAATATATATTCATTATTTGACAACGTGTGCGTACCTTTATTAAAACTTCATTGTTAAATAATACAATGTGCATCCGGATTCGTTGCGTACAACAATAAAATTATGTAACACGTTCACTATTATATATATATATTATGTTAAATATTATATACAGCACACCATTTCTGGCATTATTTCATGACATCGAATTATTTGATCAATTTAAACATTAACTTTATATTCTGCTTCGGAAGCTGTAAGCTTGAGCGCGTGTATGTACAACAGATTTCAAATCACATAAATTAATTATTCTTTTTGATAAAATACTCACTCTTCCTCCGGCGTTTTCAAAGATCTAGATCTGTATATTTATCGATGTATATACAAAACAAATATACCAAACCACCCACTGAAGTAATTTATTATTTATCCTCAATGTTGTAATGTAAATGCAGTGAGCAATTTTTTTGGTATAAATCTAGATATAGTGTTTTGTGTGTTTCATTTGAATATTAAAACTGCTATTTTGCAGTAAGTAATTAAATATTACCTTATTATATTAAATAAGATTTTTGTAGGACGATAGAGCATTATAGTATATACAATAAGTTAATCTTAAAAATCTTAACTCTTCCGGTATGTAGGTAGAAATCGATATTTTTCACATTTATAGACTTGTTGTATTATTATCTGTGTAAACATTTTTCTTACAAATAATAATTATAATAATAATCTATTAAATTATTTTAATCTAATATCATGTAACTTAAATAAATCGTATCACTATTTGAGTACCAATACAAACATATGTAGAGTAGCAATACAGTGTGTGATAATACCACGTGACTAAGTAAATAAAAATATGCTCAAATTACAATTAGAAAGTATGTGATAAACGTGATTAACCGTAGCCCGTTCATTGTCAATAAAAACATTAAGCATTCCATCTAAAATGTTATTCACGTAAATCACAATCAAATTCTATGGAGATATTAAATCTTTAAATTGAAATTAAATTCATTATGAAAATATTGTTTTTATTTATATACTAAACTATTTTTATACTTTTGGAAAATGTATGCGTTGTGAAATGTGTACCCCTAGTAGGAATATCAGAATACTAGAATATATTATGTATTATATTAATACATTAATCAAAGCAATGAACTGAGAGTCCTAAAATCATTATAGAGAGAATTATATTAAAATAGCTATTACACTTTTCTTAAAATTCTTAAAACATAACCCTAAGTTCTCATAAAAATTTACTTTGCATTGGAAAAAATTGTACTATCATATATTTTATTCGCCGATTGTTATTGTGACTTTGAAAAACGACAATTCCTTATAGAATAATAATCATTGGATTTAATTCCATTTTTTTTTTTTCAATTGAAAGATGAAAACTTTTTACAGCTAGCATTGGCCTTCGATTTTTTGAAATTCAAATTACAGAATCTATTAGTAAAAGTCTACTAAAAGTATAACACAAATTTGTTTTATATTGTAAAAGATTTTCTAACAATATTTGTAAAGTTAACATCGGATAATAATGTGATCTGTAAAAAGTTAGAAACATTATCAAAGTCCAATAATTATAAAAGGCATCATTTTTTTTTCTTTTTGTGAAGCCGTCTTTGCTCACCGATGTTACTCTTCTCAATTAGTATTGCTATGAAGTGCAATACGGTATGGACACGCTCGTAATTATAACAATAAAAAAAAATAAATAAACCAAAATTTTGAAAGTAAATTTAACGGACATTTGTTTGGGTCAACGCGGGAAGTGATTCAGTTAATAACCGTGAACCGTAACATCGACGCAATAATATTTATTTTTACGGAGTCACTATCAACACGTGTGATTCCGCCGACCGTTACGCAAAGCTATTACGAAACTTATGCTCCTTCGCTTTGCCAGCAGTGACTTGTGAAGTATCATCGTTTGCACCGAAGGAAGTACCCACTCTCCTGGTGCACTTCGCGCCATTACACTGTTGTTATCGCACGTCCACGCGCGTTTTCGACCGGCAATCCAACGCAGGATTTGTTCGTCCTTTATTGTTGCCTGTTACCGCGCACTTGCGTACCGATTTCCCGCGAACGCCGTTCGCAAGTGCACGATAAAAATTTAATATCACACTTCGTACGGTATTGGCTGCGAGGAACTTTCCGTAAACGTAGTCGCACGTCGGCGTGTACAAGCGTTTTGAACAGTAATAGGAGCGGGACGCGCGAATGGGGCCCTGTACCGTCGCCGAACTCGGCAGACGCGTTGAAACCAGCGAAAGGGACTGCGCTCGTTTGAAATTAGTCTCGTTGGCTGGTGTGATCCACGTGGTGTTCGTACCAGACGGTAGTTGACAAGACTGGAAAAAAATCATCGATGCGTGTAAACGCCTTTGCGTTATTCGGTTTTTTTCTCTCGGTTGCACGCGAGTTATTCGCAATGGTCCGGCGTGAAAAGTGCAGTTCACACGCGACTTCATTGGATACCGTTCAGCTGTTATACTAGCATACGAAAACGCGAGTGCGACGAAGACGACGAAAAACAGTGAAAGTTCATTAAACCGCGTTATCAGTTGCTATTCATTATTTTAACATGTCGGAAGGGTTGGAAAAACACGTTGTACAATAATCGTAGACATTGCACATTGCCAAAGAAGTACATGGAACTTTTTTCCTATTTTATAGTAAAACCCTGACGGTGATATTTAAGAAAAAAGCCAACGGTAAAATAAAATAAAATACACGATCCGAAGCATTTAAACACGGTGCTGATCGGCTTCCAAAACAACAGTAAATTGTTGTAGATTTTGACGTGGGGTATTGCGCGAGATCGA